TGTGTTATCTGAAGTGAAGTGGGTGAAGTTATCTGAAACAAACGAGTGATGATGATATTATTTTTAAATTTGAATTTGCGTTAGGCATCAAATCGAGGTAACCGTCAGGCTAAACAGCGGGTTCACCCATATAGTTATAGCAAGGCATTCCTCCTTAGCAGATCAGATTTGAGATTGTTGGTGGGATATTTAACGGGTTCACCATGGACTACGTTATCACCTTAATAAAATAGGTCTATCCGAAGAGACGGAATGTCGACTCTGCTTAGAAGCAGACGAGACTACCAGTCACATTCTCTGTGACTGCCCAGCCTTGATCTGGGCAAGGAGGAAACCACTGGGAGGAGAGCTGCTCTCTCCTTCTGACATTAGGAGGTCCTCAACGGACGACATTCTGGCTTTCATTCGAAAAGCGGAATGTCTTCTGTTCGGTTAGGATTAGTTGCAGCACAAGAGATCAATCTGGTCGCAGTACTCTGCTCCGCTGGGAGCTAATACCCAGTTTTATTTCTTTCTTTCTTTAGGCATCAAATATTGAACAATAATGTTTTGATAGTTTAATTTATATGACATTTTGATATAATTTCTTGATAATGTCAAGAAAATTTAATGCTAAATTCTTCAAAAATTACAAAAAAAAAATAAAATCTTTTGAAACAAACAAGTAGATGAATATCCGTAAAGTTTCATTGTGTCAGAAACGTTATAGCAAACTTAATATTCCATTCTTCTAATATGAATAGTATAAAAAGTTTAAATTTTTGTCTTGCTATTGTACCAATTATATCATTAATTTATTTAATTAACAGCTATACTTTCAATTACACTAATTCTTTAGTATAATGTTAATAAATTAATAAAAATTACTGAAAGATGGAAACATTTTTTCCTCTCCAAATTCTTAAATCTCAACAGAGTTTGATATCTAATATTATAATTTAAATGTAAAGTACATAAATGTGTTGTAACAGTGTTTTAATTAATTCAAAACCACAAATTCAGTTTCTGAATTTCATAAAAAAAAAATAACAATTAATTGTACTTGAAATTCCATTCATTACGTTATTACGCATATATAATTGTTAAATTATGATAAACAACACAATCGAAGTCCGAAGTTGCTAAAGCAAACTTGTTCAGATCCAAATCCCTTTTTGCTCTAATTAACTTAGCACACATGCCTGCGTTGCGTGTTGTGTTACTTATTCCGATACAAAGTAAATTAACGCGTTGGTAAATTAACCAAATTAATTTCATTGTTTTATCCCTTTATTTGCTCACATAATTATCATGAAAGCAATAAAAGCCCTGGCTGGTGGGGTTTCGAATGGGTAGCTCGTTGGAGCGATGTCATGCAATCTGCGGTGCACATTTCTGCGGAGGGTCATGTGAGTTTCAAGTACACGTTAATTTCATAGCACAACCTCACTGTACACACGATAGTCCGTATAGTCCGTATAGTCCGTGCCGTATAATTTTTGTATCACTGCTGTTATTATTCAATTAAGAGTGTTAAACTCTATAAATATATAGCAAAAATGATAAATACTTTTTAAACTGTTTACAAACACTTATTCTAGTTTTTACACTTCTCTTTAATTTAATTATTTATTTGCTTTTATGCATAATTAACATTTTTCATAAGATCTGCAAACATCTGCTCTCTCATCATTTCCCCTTGAGTTTATAGAATTTATCATTTTAATTAATTGTCGAAATATACAAAAATTTCACAATTCCTTTATTTACATAAGCTAATTGGTTGGTAATCTGTTGAAAACAGTATAAAAAATTAACTAATGAGTATTATTAATGTACATGCAATTAGTAGGGTTTTACACACTTCGATGAATACACTTTTATATAGGGAACGAAGTAAAGAAGATCAAAGAAAAAATTAATCTTATGCGGATGTATTATATTTACTTTCAAAAAAAATTTCACAGAAAAAAATAATAGAAAAAACTATATCACATAATTAACAATAGAATCTGGAAAAATATATACTGTATGAATTCAATTAAAAGGTTTTGAAATTACTAAATTCCTTAAATAAGTATATTATCACTGAACAATAATAAGTGTTGTACAAATGATAGAAGCATATTACGTACCTATTTTGGTTGTTGCATACATATTCCAAAATAACTCCGTACATATATTTCTTCTTTCTTAGTATTATAAAGTTTGTATAGAAACACTGGTTTGTTTCTATAACCAATACGTTCCATAAGCGATTTGATGCGATAGGTCTCCAATCAAACCTAACTATTCTACTCATGTTAAGAAGGCCTACTACTAAAACTTGTTGTTATAAATATGTATATATAGAAATAAATATATATAGACATCTATTGTAGTGTATATATATAGTAGTATATGTTATATATAAATATATAGTAGATAGATATACATTGTGACCGAAAGGTTTTCGGAGGTTCTCATTTAAAAATTCGCGCGCTGTATATTTTCGATATTTTAAGTTTATGTAGTTTGGCAGCACTGTCCTTAATTACTATGCCAAAAATGAGCGCGATCTGTCGGACAGTTCGTTTACGGCAGCTGTTGAAACCAGTTCACCTCAGTAGTGCGTTGCGAAAAAAACAATGGAAAAAAATATTGAACAAAGAGTTTGCATCAAATTTTGTTTTTCGAACGAAATTTCGTGTGCAGAATCGTTGCGAATGCTACAAAAGGCTTATGGGGAATCAGTTTTATCGAAAACTCAAGTTTATGAGTGGTACAAAGCCTTTCAGGACTGTCGTACGACCGTCGAAGACATGCCGCGTTCTGGACGACCTTCGACCTCTACCACCGACGAAAACATTGAAAAGGCAAAGGAAATCGTGTTCAAAAATCCTCATGTGAGTGTTAGAGAGATAGCACGAGAGCTAGGCATCGGTCGTGAGATGGCTCGTTTGATTTTGGTGGACAATTTGTGTATGCGACGTGTCAACGCCCGGCTTGTTCCGATTCACCTCAATTTGTTCAACATTATCAACGATTTTAAGGCCAAACATTCAATAAATACCATCGAACAGCCACCGTATTCACCTGATCTTGCACCGTGTGACTTTTTCCTGTTTCCCAACCTCAAATTACCACTCAGAGGAACGCGTTTTGAATCCATAGAAGACGTAAAACAGAATTCGCAGAGGGAACTCAAAGCCATACCGGAAAGCGCCTATAAAAAATGTTTGGATGATGGAAGAAACGTTGGCATTGTGTATCGCTTCTAATGGAGCATATTTTGAAGGAGATAAAATAAATATTGATGAAGATTAAGAATTTTGCGTTTTATTTATTTATGACCGGAAACTTTTCGGTCACAATGTATAAAGATATGTAAGAAAGGTATATAATATAGAGTAGTATATATATAAAAATATATATAGTAGTATATATTAGATGTAGTAAAAAGTAATCCATTATTTTCCTAATACAGTAGATGGCGTTAGAAAGACGATTTTTTGCACTAAAAAGTTTTGGTAATTGGTTGACTTAGTTTTGTCAAAGATGGACACTAGCAAAGAGAAAATAAGTCATATTTTACAGACCATTCATATGTGGCGTCAAATTAGCATTGTTTTCCGAATACAACTTTATTATTGAACTTAAGTATATTTCTTTAAAGCGTTTTTTTTAGATCCATTTTGTGGCTACCTATCCTAAACTAGGTAGTTTATTTTAAATTACTTATTTTAATAGTTACATTGGCTAATTTCAAATTCATGCAGAAAATTATGAATTGGATATTTATAATAATTTTATAATTAATAGACTAAAAAATTATCACAACATTTAATTTTTAGTATTTTACTTAATAGACTTCCGATAAATTTTCTTTTGCAATGTTATACAATATATTTTGAAAAGGGGGCCATGTCATATAGATAGTTATGATCACATCAAATTATTGTTGTTTTCATTGTAAATTAAAAAATTGAGAATAAGATAGAGAAGTTTCCGTAAAATTTTATTTACAGTGACGAGGCTTTCTGTGCCTCGTCACATTGGTCAAAACAGTGGTTCGCAGTAATAAATGCTAGTATTTGGGTCTATTAAAAAAAAATACATGTATTTTTGTAAAAATTTGTAAACATATTCATACGAAATAAATAAATTAATTCAATAATGTTAATTTTTTTTGTCGAATATCATGTGTCTTACCATGAAAAGAATCTAGAGGAGTTCGAAAAGTAATGAAGAAATAACAACAAAAATTTTATTTAATTTATTGAAATTTGGCTGACCAGACAACTTTGGCTGTATCGAGTATTGCAAATATTCATCATCAGTAATACCTTTTATACCACAAAATAACTTTTTATAAATTTGATATACTATAATACTAGTTAGAGTACCAGGAAGCGCCGCCAAGCACCCAGAAAACTAAAGGTATAAGAACAAGAAATAGAATGGGCCGATACTCTCAAATACCTAGGCATAACCTTTGACAACAAGCACTCCTGGAAAGCACATTTCAAGTCCAAACGAGCTAAAGCTGCAAACTCAAAATACAGCGAAATCTGATAGACACAGGCAGATACAAAGACATCAGATCCATCATATTATAAAGCCCCGTATTCACTTATTCTTAGTGTGACTTAAAACTGTCCACAGATATAATAGAGTTAAGGTGATGAATCACCAACTCAGACATCTGCATATCAACATCAACAACTAGTTAGAGTAGAGTAGGAGTTGTAGTTAGAATAGTTAGAGTTACAGTAGGAAATTGTTGTATGATTCTCTGTATAACTTGCCTTTTAGAGCGTAAAATTACTGTGATCATTTGTTGAATGTCTCTATAACATAACCCTAACATAAATAATTGAATATAAATTAAACTTAAGAATTTTTGGTTCTAGTAGTTTTTTTAATATTTATCATAAAACAAATCAATTATCATAAAAACAAATTTTTTTTCTCTATTTTAAGTTTAATTTTTTGCTGATTTTATTTGTAAAAGAAATGGGTATGAAATTATTACAATGAATTTATTTTAATTTCAATGAAACTTCACTTAGATGCAATTTTCATAAATGAAACGAAACAGTAACAGACTAAGTATTTGCATACTTGTTTTTTCATAAAACTAATTATCTGCAGTTTGCAAGTGTTTTTAGGAAACTAATTATTTAATGTGAAATATTTATAGATGTCAGTTTATTACAAGTATTATATATCTTACAATTCGAATTTGCGTTATCTCTAGCATATAACATTGGTAGAAAACTTAAATGTTAAGACATGAATATATACCGATCATTAGTTGATAAGTTAAAATGTTTATTGTAAAATAACATTTAATCTTTTCAAAACATTGAAAATGAAACCTTATTTTTTCTCAGTAGAACTAAGTCAAAATAACTCATAATAAGTTTTACCTGGACTCTGTCTCAAGAATATCAGTCTTCAATCTCATGTGGTTTAATAAGGTCATGTAAGTAACGATAACTTCAAACGGCGCTAGTCGTTTTTTAATGACGAAAGAGTAAAATTGGATTTAAGATAGCTAACATCGTTTCGCTTTTAGATGAATGTGTGGACTTTATTTTATATAAATATTTAGCTATCCCACTGTTGCTAGCAAAGTGAGAAATACATTAACTCAAAATTAATCAAAAGTAGCAATGCTTTGATAATTCGAGCGCTATTCAAACATATTCGAGCGTAATTAGATTTTAATCGTGCGATATGTAAATATGGATGAAACACGGTTCTAAAAATAAAGTAGCAGTCAGTTGAGTGAATAGCAACTGGCAAAAACCAATCAAAGCAACCAAACAATAGTCGGCTAGAAAGTTTTTCGCATCTGCGTGTTATTTATACAAATATGTAATATTTATCTATTATCGTAAATAGTTAAAAAGCATCAATAGCGGGTATTGTATATCATTATTGGTGGCTTTGAAGGATGAAATCGTTAGTCAATATGTAGGAATGAAGATAATGAAAGTTAAAAACGATGGCTAAATTATAAGATTTGCAATTAGAGTTCTTTAGATGGAAGTGAAATAAACAAAAAAAAAGGCCTAGATAAATAGATGTATAAGAAAATTATAAGAATGTTAGAAAAATCTCTGAATGACTGCTTTACAATTGAATAAGAAATTATTCATAAATAAATCTAATATTTTTTTTCAAAATAATCTCTTATTATATAGCGCACCTATTTTTTGCTAATATAGAAGGTTGTATTCTGCCAACTTGTTATAAAGCATTTTTACAAAAATGAAAACCATTAACATACGTTATTAATTTTTATTATACTATTTACAAAATCCTTGTCCTCAAAATACTACAAAATCAGTGCTTAACTTAAGTTTCTTCAGGAACATGACAATTACGAGTATCTTAGAACCTTCATCGCTTTCTATCTAATGTTAAAGGTAGGAGGTTAATAATGGATTTTAAGTTCTCAATGAAACTTTATCACTATGTTATTTATCGAATTAATCTGATGCTACTTATTTGCTTCTACTTCTGAATTAGTTGTATTATAAGCAATTTGTTGATCTATTGTAAAAATCGAAGACAATGTATTGGATTATTTGTGCTGAAGTACGAACTAAATTTTAATTCCTTGACTTAACAATAAAAGAAATCTTATATCAACTGATACCAACATTGCGAAATTGCATTGCATTTCTTTATGTGTGTGTCAAAATCAATACAAAAAAATCCGATTTTATATTTTTGTTGTAACTACATGAATCTTCATTGTTGGTGACAATGTGCTAGATCTCTATATATTTGGTTGGGGGCATAAACTCATCATCATCATTTTGGCATCACAGTCCAGGATTAACCATTGCCTCCTCTACAATACGGGGCATAAACTACTCCTCTAAATTATTCGAACATTAGGTTGTTTAAAAAGTTTAAGTATACTCGCATTCAGACATTTAGATCGAACATTTCAAATATTAGACAATGGAGCTTCTCAAAGTATGCGAATAGTATATCTGTGTTATGCTTTATTTTTTTTCGGTTTTATTTCATACATGTTAAAAAAACTTATATCATCCACGCTTTCTACTTTTTTATAAACGTTTGAATTTTCCCTCTGCATTATTCGCCATAAACCTTTATTGGCAACCCATCCTATTTATTATATTCGAGTGGCTCGCTATGTTTGATCCAAATGCTCGAGCACAAACAAACGCAAACACTGAAATGCTTGATGCTATAAAAAAATCAAATAATATTTGAAGTACTGGTATAAACACAATCCTAATTTGATATATTTTCAAATACATTGTGATATATCATCGTTTCTAATTATATACCAAAAAATTTTCTGAATTTTTGTATTTTCTTCATTTATTTATTTCAGATTTTTAAGAGAATCTGAAAACAAACAGAGTCTGTCTGTTGTATTATTAACTTTCGATGGTTTCATTGCATATTTTGATTAATTTTGATTTTTGGTTAAAGTCGGTTTGCTAACGTCCCTAACGTTATTAGGTCGTAAACTTGTTCCACTATTATCTGTAAATAATGTCTAGATATTTATTTATATTATTTTAAAGCGAAATCAAAATATTAAAATAATTTAAAAAATTAAAACTTGCTTGTTACTTGTATAGCTACTTAAACTAAAAAGATATATAAAAAATAATAATATATAGAAATAATAGCTGAATATATTTTTTTAGATACAATTATATATACAATTGATGTTTAAAAGTATCACTGTAAAGAAAGTGCTTCAAAACATTAATTTACAATAAGAAAATAACATCTAATTTTCACTATGTCAAAGTTTCCTTTGTGTTCGGAATTTAAAGATTTTTATATCTATTTATATCAAGTATATGCTAAACCTTGCGCCAATGAGACTAAATTTTCTATCCAAATGTCAAGCTGTTAGATTTATTAAATACTTAAAATTTTACTGACTCTCAGAATGCTTACAAAGCAAGGTGCATAATGTGTACTTCGTCACAAATACAGTGCTGTACATTAAAATACGGACGACTGTTATTTAGAAAATATTGATAGAAGTATAGAATTTACGGTAGAGAGAGAGAGTTCTTTTTATTTTGAACGTAACCTTCTGGAATATAAATAATTAAAGAGCATTTTATAAAATATCCCTTTATAAAATAAATAAATTAAATAATATCGTATATATAATATCTCCCATAAAATACTATATCTATATGTTTATTCGACTATGTATTCTATTATATATAAAAAGAAATATTAAGACAGTCTCATAAATAAATGGATTTTATTTTTAATTTCAGATCATCATGTGCATTTCGACACAGCTAGTCTCAAAGACGAGTTCGAAACTGATCCAAGCTCTGTTACATACCAGCGTTCCGGTGACACTATTGTTGTCAGTTTGGGTTTCCTACAAGTCAATCATCGTTATTTAATTGATCTTAAGCTACCGATCTCGCTGTTTGGCAATATAAGCGACGAGGGCAAAAGTCAATTTGAACCTGATGTGACGACAGTTCCTAATTTACATTGCCGCATTACAGAATTCTCCGGTGTTAAACACGATACTCATGATTTCTATGAAATGAAATTAGAATTTTTCGCTTATAAAGAAAAACTCCTTCGTGAAACATTACATATTGTCAACTCGAAAAATTCTAAAGAAGTCCTAACGCTGGTTATAAGTGCACGAGTATTGGGTAAGGGCAAAGGTACTCCGATGTTGCGAAATGGTATACACTGCATAGGTATGGAAGCAGATGAGGAGTCAGAGTCATCAGATTTTGCTGGCTTTAGCAAACATTCTTAAATATTCGAAATAACGCCATGAAGAAACTATAGATATATATTATATGCAATTATTATTTGCATATAAGATACATAAAAAATGTATTCATTTAAAATTATTCATAAACATTTTAAAAGCATTCTTTGTTCTTGACAACATTGTGGCATTTGAAACATAAATTTCTATTATTATACATATTAGTTGATTTAATAAATTGTTAACTTTTAAAAATAATTGTAAATGATTTAAGTCATTATATGATTGCATTAAAGCAGATGCAGATACTTAAAGCGTGTATATTAGTATAATTTATTTAAAGAAAAAAAATAGTATTGTTAAAGCTAAAAAATCCACGAGAGGTTTTTATCTCATTCAGATACATTTGTTTAAAAAACAGCTCAGACACCATAAATGGTGTAAAAAATGCAATGGAAATATAAAGAATTGTAGTTAGTAATAATAAATAATATTGAATATTATTGCATTATTAATTTAAAATACAAATATTGTATTTAATTCTTTTAATTTTTACATTAAATTTTATATTGGTATTCTTTATTTTGTTGCATACAACAATTTTATTTGCAAATTGTGCAACGTGTTTTATTTTTTGTTTATAATATTTTTGTTTAATAAAACTAATTTTTATTATCCAATGCATACATATGTTGCTTAATTTTCATCTAGCGTTAATATATTTTATGAGTTTTCAATAGATATAATGGCCTTGAAATAAATCATTTCTGGTATTATAATGAAGTTTTTGTGGACAATAGCTTTTAAATACTTCACAAGTAAACATCTAAATGTCAGACTTCGATTTATAATCGATAAAATATCGATTACGATATAATAATTATATTAATAAATTATTGTTTTTAGATACATATATACATAGGATTTCAAGTTTCGATTTTATTAGATTCCAGATACAAAAAATGAGTAACGGAAATAGGAGTTTATTTTAAGTCTATTATCTGTCATAATATTAAAGGAAGAATATCTGAAAAATCTTGTAGATTAAAGAATTTGAAGACAACTTGTCAAAGAAGAACTCATAGACTATATCATAAATTGCTATTTAATTTATTACATTATTTAAATGAGTTTAGAATTTAGATTATTCATTTCATCTTAAAATTATTGAAGTCAAATCGAGAGTTTGAGAATGAAATCTTATACTTATTATATATATCGTTACATATATTTACCTATATTCAAAATCTTAGGAAATTCTTTAAAAAAGTATTCAGAACCATATTATAAAAATAAAGTATATACAGATTTCAGATGTTTTCCCATATAGTTTGTAGCGAAGAAAACAAAAAGATCAATATATCTTTGAAATCTAATTCTAACATATTTAAAAAAAGTATATTCAATTGATATAGTATTATTCTATTTTCTATTCATATATGTGTATCGATAAGTCATAAGATAAAAGGTCACAACCAACATTTAAGGTAAGTTAACTCATTATTTGTTTACATTTATGTTAAACATTGTCTTGTGTAATAATAAGCCTTGAAGAAAATATACTCTCTTTTCTGTGCTGATCCGAAACAAATACTCATAGCATAGAGTTGCCGACATTAGGTATATTCGGAAGTAACTTTTTAAAAGAGCAAGGTGGCATCAAATCGAGTTTCATAATTTATAATGTTAATTTCAGATTAAAAAATATTTTAACTCGCAGGTCCACAATTCAGATGAATATGGTAGATCACCATTAGTAATGAAGCTAATTTGCTTAAGAATTTCCGTATTATGATGACTTTAGCCGTTAGTTAATATGTTATCGTGCTATAAAAATCAACTGCCTGACTCAATATTTACGTCGATCTAATAATATTTAATTATTCCTCATAATTGATGCATTTATAATCAAAATAATATATATATTCTATACCTTCATTAATTTTGTCTGTTAAACCACTCTTTCAGTCGAGCACAGGACCTCAACTATCCCTTTTTGTATTTAACTTTGCTTCACTATTTTGGGCTTTTCTTGGTTAGCTGACTTATAATCCAGGATTAATCGCTTTCCTTCATGTACTGACAGTTGTCTAACCGCGACCGAACAATATTTTGAGTTTGATTTGAACACGTATTGTACAATGTTAGCAGTAGATTAGTGAAAGATTTGTTCAACTTGACATAATTTACATCGATGTATATGTTAAGGTCCGATGTTTGAGTAGCTCAAAGTGGTATATTATGTATGCGAGTCTGATATGATTAATTCATGATTTGGCATAAACCATTATCTGAAAACACTTGTCAGCTGTGAATTGCTGGTAAGTTCCAAAGCCTCAGATCCATATAAAGGCACAGATTTGTACTATTGCTTTGAAAAACATATATATTTTTATAATTATAAATTGCAAAAGTTTAGCGTGTATATATACTGATATATGTGGGGTTGGCAATGCTTTCAAATAAGAAGCAGTAGAAAAAAAGCTGTAGAAAAGCGGCAGTAGAAAGAAAGACTTCGACGAAGCAAGTCGAACAAATTTTATTGTTATGTGTTAAATAATTTATATTTTATATTTAATAAATCCCACATATATTCTATATATGTAGTAAAATTGTTCATGATTCAAATTTAACCTGTATCTCTTTCGTCACTTAAAAATTTATATTCTCTTTAAAATTTCAAATTTATCGACCTTTATTCTACAAATTCAAGAGTTCAAAATCCTAATATTTGGTAACTCATAGAATAAGATACTAGCTTTTGATATAATTTCAAAACAATACTCATACTTCATTCTCTAAACAAGAACCAATTTTTTGATTTTGGATATATTTTTATATATATGATTTTTGCTTTTATTTTATACTTAATAATGTAAAGTTTCACTCAGGTTAACAATTTTTTTTGTATTAAACTTTACTCGTATATCTTTAAAGTTTTTTATAATAACCTCCAAATCTATGGACCAATATATCCTATTTCAAATTTTTATAATATTAAAAATACCATAAATTAAATTTAATATATTCCATTGTACTTAAATTTAATAAATATAATGTATTTGAAAGACATAATTTAATTAATAATTACGTATATTAATTTTATATTGCATAAAACGTTAAATATAAAAAGTATAATAAATTATAAACGATAATTAATGTTAATAATAATTTATATAAAAAATAATTATAAAATACTTTAATTTTTTTAAATGTAGAAAAAATTATTATTTTAAAAATAATAAACATAATAATAATAGTAATAAAATAATAAACAATTTATGTAATTAATTATATTATAAACTTAATATTTTAAATATAAAATTTTTATAATTATTATCCTAATTGGTGCTCTTAAATTTTAAAATTTTAGTATCTGTAACGAATCTTTTGAACAATAAATAACGAAGTAATGTTAGTTATTAAGAAAGGCAAATATTGAAGTTTTATATAAAATGAAAGGTCAACAAAAAAAAATGTTTTCAAGTTAAATTAAAAAAAAAAAACGTTTTATTTGCATATTTTAGAAAACTTAAAAATTATTTTTATTAATAGAATTTATATTAATTAATATATGCAAGTGCAAGTATGTTATACACCTGAGTTATCCAACTTTATTACATATAGTATAGCTTTAATTTACGCGATTCACAATCCTTACTCTAATCCTACTTTAGATGTTAATTTAAAAAATTTCTCTAATAATTACAAGAACAATTACAACAATAACAGTTATAATTGCTATAATAAATACAATAATAATAAATTATTACTGCAGTCGGTGAAGAAAAACTTTTTCTTATAATAGAGATTTAAACGGCGAATTCCTCTATATACATGTGAGAAACTTTTAAACTCTGATAAATGTTTGGTTAGTTTATTTTATAACATGATTATAAGAATTCACTTTCACCTATTGACGTATTGCGAAAGTTAGCCTAAGAATCCACTTACGCCCCTTGGTCCATTATGTTGGACCTAAAACATTTAATATGGTTTAAGATGCTCTTAAGAGGATCTTAAGCAATTTAGAGGATCATTAAAATCCTCTTAAGGATCTAAAGGAAAATTTAAGATGGTTTAGAAAGTGAATAGCTACCGTATTCAATCATGTGTGCATGTGTCATATGCTGGATAATAACAAAGTAAAATGTATCAGCTTCTAAGGCATCTTGACAGAACATCTTAGTGGAATTTCTTGATTTTTTTTATTTATAAATTGTCAACTTGCATTCATATGTATGAATACCCTTAAATCCTTTTATATTGTATTAAATTGGTCAATGGAAAAATAAAATTGCTTATCTGCAAAAAATAACGGTCGTTATTGTAGATTGTTCGAGATAATTTATTTTATAAATGTATATATGATTGATTTGTTTGCAAATACCAAGATATTTAAAAAGTAAACTAATTTCTTTAATTTATATTTAAATTATACAAAATAATTTAAATTATTTAAGCTATACTATACTAAAAATTTGAGCAACAAAAACCTTCAGTTTAAAAACTAAAAAATATTCATTGGAATAGAATTTTAATTTTCAAATCTTTAACTAATTCAAATTGTTGAAAACATTTAAATAAATTGAAATTATACGAAATCCCTTTTAAAATTTGGATAACTCTAAAAAAACTCAACAATACTAAGTAAAATAATCAAAGACACGCCTTCGATTTCTCGGGTACGCTCATTTGCCAATGAATTTTATTGAAGGCACTTATTGTGTATAATTTTTTTTTACTACACTATAAGTCAATTTATAGTAGCTTAGATTTAGGCCCCTTAATTAGAAATGTATTTCTATGGACTTCTCAATATTATATTGTTTATTATATTATTTATATTATATATATAGTGCCAAACATAATTATTGGCACAACAAGCAAATTGAACTTTAGCACTATTTTCATCCTGTTAATGATGCGATTTTTAATCAACAAACAATTTTTTTAGATAAAATGCTTAATTTGCCATTAAATTTATTTTATTTCATTTTATTTTCTCTTATATTTAATTTTTTAAAATTAAAAAACCAAAAATAAACTGAATTTGGTTGAACAAAATTATAGGCACAGCCGATAATATATATAGTGGCCAAGCTCTTCTATTTAATAACAGCTACTATTTGCTTTGGAATCGAAGAAATCAATTTTTGTGTGGTTTTTGGCCCAATATCTTGCCACTCTTCAGCAATGTCACCTTCAGTTCTGCCTTTGTTGTTATAATGGGCTTCTTTGAACGTGTTGATAATTTTTAACTAGTTTTATTCTGCAACCTAGGTGGATTTCAAATCACCATAGATCTTTGAAGAATATATCCCTTATATATATTGTAATAATTTCATAACCTTGTGTATACCGGAGATTATACTAATTTTCCAAGAGCTATATAGTTTTGCCTGTTTTCATCTAGTTATATACCAAAACTTTCTTTTTGATATTTATTTGCTAGTTTCATAGAGGCCTTAAAATTTGATGTCTATAATTATATATGCAATCTTTT